AGGGAAGGACAGCACACACTACAGGGGAAGTCAGCACAACTGGACTAAACCAAAGCTAAGAAGTTTCCTGAATACAATCAAACACTTTGAGGGACACAGTAGCAGGGGTAGGAGTCTGCAGAGCATGCTTTCAGGGGACATTTACATCAACTGGCATAACAAAGCTTATTAAGAAAATGTTCTGCATCCTACTTTGGTGAGTGGCGTCTAGGGTCTTAAAGGCTTGCAAGCGGCCATCTAAGATGTATCAATTGGTCCCAACCACCTGAAGTGAAGAAGAATGAAGAACACCAAAGACACAAGGAAAGTATTAGCCCAAGAGACAGAAAGGGCCACATAAACTAGACTTCATCAGCCTGAGACCAGAATTAGATGGTGCCTGGCTACCACCAATGACTGCCCTAACAGGGAACACAAGAGTCCCAGATGGAGCAGAAGAAAAGTGGGGTGCAGAACTCAAAATCTTCTAAGAACAGACTTAATCGTCTGAGACTGGAGGAACCTTGGAAAGCATGGCCCTGGATTCTCTTAACAGCCCAGAAGTAAAACAAATTTCTGAGGCCAACTCCTCAGACAGGGATTGGACTGGACTGTGGGACATAAGGTGATACTCGTGAGGAGTGTGCCTCTTAGCTCAAGTAGATACAAGAGACTAAATGGGCAGCTCCTGTCTGGAGGTGAGATGGGAACGCAGAGAGGGTTAGGAGCTGGTTGAATGGACATGGGGAATCAGGTGGAAAGGAGGAGTGTGCTGTCACATTACGGGGAGGACAACAGAATGACGTAACAATGTATGTATAAATGTTTGTATGGGAAAAACCTTTAAAAAAAAAGGATTAAACTGACAGGCTCCCTTTCTGTCTTGCCAACATCATTCATAGCATTACTTACTACAGAACATAAATAGCTGGGAACTAACCTTGTCTGAGGATCTCTGGTGGGCATTATCATCAGTATGTTTTTTCTTTCATTCAACAAATATTTGCATGGTTACTATGTGACAAGCAGACACTGGGCATAGTGGCAACAGAGAAACGACTAACAGATCATGCAGGACTAGGCAGACAAGTTTTAAACTGTTACACATGCGTGCAGAAATCACTTAATGAACTAGGAAACATGCTGATGGCCTGAATTAAGGTGGTGGTGTTAGGAGTTATTTTGGAGTTGGAACAGACAGGACTTGCCCTGTTACACATTGATGCTGAAAAGGGAAGCTTTCGGGAGAGGGTAGATTGTAAATGGCATTACTATTTTATGAAGTACTGGAATTTTTTGGACATGTCTTGGTATGAGTTTGAAGTACATATGAGTCATACGAATGCAAAAGTGGGTTGGAGGAAAAAAAAAAAAAAAACTCTGGAGGCACAGGCCTTAAGATATTTAAAGGTTAAGTACTGAGCCTTAAGGAACTCCAGCACTTAAAGTAGCATACATCAACCAACTGAACAATCATGGCTTTTCTGTTTCTGTTAACAAGGAGTCTCATGAAATTTTATTCAATTTCAAAGGTACAGAGAAGAAGCAATTTTCACAGTTAAACATGAATAATGCAGCAGTCTGACTTGGATGGCTGTACTTGAGGTTGTTCAGAGTGCCAAGAGCTATCTGGATTACCAGCTATCCAGTTTTCTCCATTTTTCAACTGTTTTCCATGCCGGGATCCATTACTCCTAACTAGAATGAAAATGAGGTCTATTTACAGAGAAAATATTTTATTCTTAAAATGCCAGAGAATGTATAACATCTTATTGAAATAATAGTCTTGAGCCTATAAATGGGTCATTTACTTTCCCAACAGGTTTACCTCTAAGTGAACTTTTAAAAGTATAGCCTTCAGAATAACACCTTAAAAATAAGTTTATTTTTGCCTTTAGCATATTAGCACAAACTGGCTCCTAGCTTGTTTTGCTCAGATATTTTAAAATGGTTACAGACTGGAAATTCCCTGAAACAGCCCAATTACACTTCATTATACATATTGAATGCATAGTTCCAGAACCTGTACTAATACAACCATAAACATTCTAATCATGTTAACAAGACATTGGTTTCTCCAGATAAAGTTTTACAAAGCAAGGTATTCAGATTTTTACCGCTGTCTGCTACTATAGGGCACTACTGCAGGCATTGTAAACAACTCAGCTTTTCAAAATTCAAAATTCAAGAATTACTAAATTGGCACTGATTTAGTACATTTGTAAAATATCCTCATCCCTTCAATTCATTAAAAGCTGAGATTATAATCCTAGAATAAAGATAGAAGGATTAAGTGCACTGGAAAATGAATTTTATATAGCTGCTGATTGCCCAGAGTTAATAAAAGAGACCTTCCTGATCCACACCAAGTTTCATGCAGTTATGCATAGGTACAAATCCACACTGCAATGATAAATTCATTACTGTGAAGTAAAAAGTATTCATACTTTTACTGTGAAGTAAAAAGTTCTCAATCCTCCAGTTTAAATTTAAACCGAGCCTATTGAGAAACTTTTGGTTTTCTAATAATTTTACTTCAGATCTCAGTAGGCTAGTGAACTGAACACTTAACACTAAAACTTCATCATCTCCATTACTAATAGTTCCAGTCATCAGTTCCTCCAAGTAGCCCACTTGAGTATGACGAGACTCACCAGTGAAATTTCAATACCATTTACCAAAGTCTGTTACACTCAACAACTTTACATCATTCACCTAGAGGATTTTCATTGATTCTTAAAGATTAAAAGTGAACTCCAAAATGATCCTACTTATGAGATATGCTTTTACAATCAACGATCTGTAAAATGAGAAATGCCTTGCCAATGTCTACGGTGGTACAAAGCACAAATGTTGATAGTGATTGCCAAAAAACAAACCTCTATTTTCTAATAACTCTGATGTAAAAAATACTGCTCCAGCCTATGGATAAGCATAAAAATGTGCCTGCCAATGCAGATGGTTCATTATTAGACCCTGCTTAACCTTTTTAAAAAAAAGATAAATCAGGGTGTGCAATCTCAATGGGGATAATAATCTCACTTTTTTACGTACAAAGCACAGATACATACATTTCCAACATTATCTATGGCATTAAAATTTCATGCAGAAGTGATTAGGAAAAAAAGGTCTAAAAGGCTTCATGGGGGTGATGAGAAAAACGTTGAGAAACACTGAATCACAGTAAAGTTCTCAGCCACATGCATTTCCCCTCACCACCATCATTATGCTGTCAGAATTCTCTGATCTGAAATTTTCTTAAGGGCAGAGTAATAGGTATCTCTTGGACAAGACTTCCAGGATAATTAAGAATAAGAAACTTAGAATCATAATTAAAAGTACAGCTTTAACATCTATATTAAGAATTACGTATTTGAGGCCATAGGTTGGCACTGCAGCTGAGTTCCAAATTACCACTTAAAATTCAAAATGAAAATCTGCAGTCTTTTTAAAAAGCATTCCCTTTCTTTACACTATACTGTCACAGGTGACTTACCCATTTACTATTAACATTGTAGTAAGTAAACACTACTGTGTCATTATGCAAGAAAAACTCTTATGATCAGACAAAGATCATAATGTAGTGCTGGAAGACTACACACTCTTTCACTATACACAGTATATAATACAACAGGATACAGTTTGTACAGCAGTAACATGCAATGATTTGGTTGTAGAAATACGTTAATGTAGTTTCAGCTACATTAAAATTTTGTGTAGGTGTTTATGTTTGGGAGTCATAAACTGGATGAAAGGAGCCATTATTTAATACTTACAGAATAAAGATATTTCAACACATGACATACGGTATTGTCATTAACATGCAATTCACAAAAAAAATAAAAAATTAAAAAAAGACTGACCTGTAAACCTAAGTGTAAGGATGGACTTTATTTAAAAAAAAAAAAGTCTTTTGAGGACTACGTACAAATTACAAAGTAAAAGCAGATTACTACTTAGAAATCTAGTGAATACATTTTGCCTGTGCAGGAAAACTTTATCAAAGTTATTCATTTAACAAATTCACCCCATTCACAATGTTATCAGTTATAATGCTCTTCTTCATAAGGTTACTATACCTTTATTTCAAATTATATTACACGTTATTCCCTCAAGATGAACTTCTAATTTTAAACACCATATTCTTGGCTCATAAGAATGGCACCTTAGAAAACGGTAATTTCCACTCAGTCTGTGGTGGCATTATTCCAGGTAAGTTTCTTTCAGCAATAAGAAAACCTTTAAAATGTTCACTCTTAACATGAAGTCTCTTCTCCTAAAAAATGTGGTCACATTTTGGTTTCTAATGACTACGTACATAAATGGGTAGCAGCAAGAAAAGAATGATGAAAATTAAAAGGCAGCCATTAAAATAGATGGATCAACCATACATAAGACATATTTGGCTCATGGCAATTAAAAAAATGGCAACTAGGGTATGTCAACAGCCAGATGCTTGACTCATTACGGAATATATTAACAAACTGAAGCCAGTCCAGCATGACCAAGTGGACTATATCATTATCATTGCACTTCATTCTTTACAACAAATAGTGTAAGCCAATAGAAAATACAACTTATATTAGAGTCTCAATTAGAATATGCTCATTACTTAACATCAACAATTTTTACTGGGTTTAGAACATTAGTCATTTCCCTTATTTGCACTCCTTTACCAGTTCTTTCTTATCAACCTAAGTGTATTCTGTGTAAAACATTCTGAATGACTTTTCTTACGTACATTTGAAAATAGTTGTATGAAAAATACCCAGCTGGTTTGCCTAGAAAGATATTAACTGAATGCAGAAATTTCTCAATAGGAAAAAGCTCAACCTTCTTCTTTCCACCACCTCTGTCACATATGATTTCCCAAAGACCTCACTTTCAAGTTTGTTCTCCATGGCTTCACTAAGGAATGAAAACCAGTGAGCAAACAACCGAACTTAAGGAAATCTGACGTTAAAAATGCAAGAAAATATGTTAACATGCAAGCAATGGTCCAAACACTCAAGATTCATGTTAATAAATTCAATTATTATGAGATTTCCATTGATGAATAGGGCTCTGGGCATAAAATATGCCACCTTTTCATTTCATACCGAATTATCACAGAAATCACTGCCTTTTGAGACTTTGGATACTTTTACAGTTTAATTTGCAAACAGAATTTTTATAACAAATTGTTTTTAACCAAATCGTATCTTGAAAACTGTATATAGAAAACCCAGGGAATAAAGTGAACTGTTCATTGTGGAAGGCCTTAAATTACATTATTACAGTAGAAAATACAGGAGGTAGAAGATAACTGAAAAGACTAATGCAACATTGGATTCCAATCTATAGCTCCTGTAGCTACTTAAAACATGGTTTCAGAAACTAAACCCAACATTTCCAGTAACCATAGAAACAGTTAAAATAAAATTTGCCATGAAAGCCCTTATATCATGCTTGATATAGGGAGGTAGGAAGACGTAAGAACCAGGACACATGAGACATGACGTTTTATCTACAACTCCTGTTTGCTTTACTGAGGGTGTAGTTTCAAAATTCAGTCACCTTCTTCAGCTTCAGACTCAGATTCTAAAAAAGGGGGAAGATGTAGTCAAGCATCATATAATATCAGAACACAAAAGTTACCATTTATAACTTTGATGCTTTTTATTATAATTAAGAAATTTCATTAGTAAAATGAAAATATCCTGCTTATATAATGGGTCTATTCCAAAGTATTCACTTAGCAATCTTAGAATTCATAAATATCTATTAATTGTTTTCAAAATTTTCAGTTTTTCTCTTGGAATGTTTAGTATTTTGACTGAGCTATCAAAACATTGCAATAATTAAAGTCTAGCTTTCCTCATCTGACTTAAGCAAATGACTATCTGCAGGTCTGTTATAACAGAAAAAAAAATCTGTATCCTAGATACAAAATGCCATCAGAATGAAAGAAGGCAGCATGTGTGGACATATACTATGGCCACGTTAATATTAGTTTTTCAGGCTTTACCAAATAAACCGAACAAAGGTGAAAACTTACCCTCTTCAGCATTTTTGAGCCACTCTACAAACTTTTTCATTTGCTCAAGGAAGACACTTTTCCCCTTTGCAACATGTGCATCTTTATACCACTTCAGAATGGGCTCCTCACTCAGGACTTCAGCTATGAAGGAGAGCGATCATTACATTCAGGGAGTTTTGACAAAATCTGGAGACATTTTTGGTTATCACACTGAGGAGGGGTGCTACTGATATCTACTGGGTAGAGATCAGGGATGTTCTTAACACCCTACAACGCACAGGACAACCACCCACAATGAAGAATTACCTGGCCCAAAATGTCAATAATGCTGAAATTGAGAAACTCTTTGTTAAATGAGTAAGAAAATTTGACAAAAAATTTGTCAATTTTAGGTGTGAAAATGGTACCATGTTTTTATTTAAAGAAAAAAATAATTCCATATACTTCACAGGTGCTTATTGAAAAAATTAAATGAAGATTTTTAGAATTTATTTCTAATAATCTGAGTGGGGGGAAATAAGCAGGGGTATAGCTGCTTTCAAGAAACCTAACCACAGCTGATAATCACGAAAACACTGTTACACCAGAATTCAATAACCCCATTCTCTCTTTAAAAAAAAAAAAAAAATTCTGGGGAAGACACCAACAAAATCATCTAAGAGAATTAACGAACAGAAGTAATACACGTATTCATGAAACTACACTCACTGAGTTCGAGGCTGGTTTATGTAGCATTAAAACAAAAATGTTATCACGAACCACTGTATACTATCTGCAACAGGCACTCTCCCAACAGAGGTCGTTCTCTCTCTTTATTAACCACTTTAGACCAGTTTTCTGAAACACGGGATCACAGAAAAGGGAACAATAACAGTAACTGTGTATTAAGAAGCATTTTGAACTGGTCACATGGGGTAACGGGGTAGGGTAAAGGAGAGAAGCCATGTGAGGACCCAAGAGACGTGAAAAGTGTGTCTGGGGAAGGGAACTTGGAAATTTGATGTGGCTAGAGTACAGGAGAGGAAGTTGAGGCTGCATCGTGAAGGTTTTAGATTTTAGCTTTTTAATAGAGTTGAGACATGTTTTAATATTAATGCATTAAAAAGCACCCAATTAGAGACAACTCAGTCCTGTGAGTAAAAAATATCTCAGGGAGTGGATATTCAAGCCACTATTCATTTTAATTATTTTGAATATTGACGAGTTTCTGTTAAACATATTCACAAAATTCAAAATTTAAATTACCTTTATAAAAAAGCACCACTATTTTCTGGAAGGCTTTCATGAAATGAATGTTGTCATAACAATACTCCTGAATCTTCAGCAACAGAGTCAGCTCGGACTGACCTTGGGTAGTGAAGGCAGCAAGTAGAGGGCTATATTGCTTTTAAAGGGACAGGAGAAAGATCCAGTCATATATCACAATGACTATCCATTACAAAATCTCTAAAATAGAGAACATAACTCACCTTTTACATTCACTATAAACTATAATCTATTTATGAACTAAATTGTTTATAAACTTAATTATGTTTAGAAATTAAAAACAAAAACACTAACTCAGAAAAATCTTCTAAGCATCTAAGTCAAATAACCAATACTGCACTGAGTATTCCAGATATCAATACTATGTCAGTTATTTTAGAGGAAAAAGAATGCTCCTATTTTCTAATATTCCCTCAAATGCAAATATCACAACTGCAGGTTTAAGCTACTTTTAAACATGTATTTGTTTCTAACTCGTAAACCAAAGAAAGGCCAATTCAACGTTAAAAGTGTTATCATCACTAGTTAGTATGTTATTTGTCTATTTACCACTGGGTTATCCCCAGGAACCACAGGATATGGCAAATCTCCTAGAAAAGTACAGCAATTAATTCATTCATCCCCACTTAAGAGCAGAATGATTTGTTCTGTCAAGGCACCATTCTAATACCTTCAAGTGCTTGATGGCTTGCTCTGCTACAAGCTCCTCTTTTTTGTTCCATTCCACAGTACTCATTACACTTGACCAGACTATTCCGATGACAACTGGTTCTGGGATGTTGTTTTTTTTCATCTCCTCCTTGACATATAAAATTATCTGCAAAAGAATCCAAGTTCAGTAACAGAAGTCAGTTTTGATACATACATACTTTACATTATCAAATTTAGACTTTTTACAAAAGGCATAAAAACACCTTTCCACCCAAGTGACAACAATCCCATGTATACACCATATATCACAAAGGGCTTTTAGAACTGGAAGAGGCCTCTGGTTCAAACCCCTTATTTTACACAGAGGCAAACTAACTAGGAAGGAACCAAGATGCAAACAAAATCACGTCTGTCCATGCTGGCTTGCACTCTACAAAATCCACAAGTGTTAAGATTTCTGGGCACCAGTAAGACACTGAATAAGTTTATGGAAAGACCAAGGCAAAGTCCCAGTATAATACTCTACAGCTATCAACTCAAACTCACTCTAGTGAAATACTTTACAGTTTTGCAAATGTGTGAAAAATTGCTTTGCTAGCAACTTAGTCACATAAAGATGGTTTACACAAAAATATCTTACATCCTTAAATGGATCACCACGGGACATCTGTTCTTGGAGTTCCTTCTGGAGCTCCTTACGAGCTCCAATGGTTTGTTGATTCCGAACATATTCTGAAAGCTCTTTCAAGCCTGCCTCGGTGAAATACTTTGTGAAGTGTTCAACACTTTGCTTATTGGCAGGAAAGAGTTCCTGAAAGGGAGAATTTAAACTGGTTAAATGGTGTTTAAATCAGATTAAGAAAAATATTTTCCCTCTTTTTCCAGATTAAAAATGAAAAATTTCCCCTTTACATTTGCCTTAAGTGTTGGCAGAACAGGAAGAAAGGAAAAAGTTACAGACCATTAGTCTATTATCCATGCTGACTTTCCGAAGACTTGCAGCTACTGCGTTGATATCTTTTTCGTTTATCCATGATTTAAAGAGCTTTACAGCAAAAGCTGCTGAAACCCCTATAAAAGAACAAGAGTTTACTTAACAGAAGTACCTTCCTGGTTTACAAACATTATACCCCCTCCCCCAATTTTCCCTCTCATAGTTCAATCACACAGGGATTACTTGCTGTACCCTCAAACTTTCCTCTGCCATTGCTTACCATTTCATTCCAATTTCCCCATTCTACCATTCGCTAGATGTGTATTCCTGGGTAAATTAAACTGTTTTTCTAATGTGTAAATTGAGGTTAACAGTTCCTATACCTGTCAGGGCTGTTGTAAGAATTAAGGCATGTCAAGCACTCAGTACTCTAAGCAATAAGAAAAGTTAGCTTTTTTAATACTGTGCAGAATAATTTAACTATGGAAATCACAACAGGGAATGGATTTTCGTTCATAGACTGATATTTTTCCTAATATCCTCTTTTCTATTAAAGATGTTCCCAAGTCTCAACTGGAATTAATCTCTTTCAGGGTTCCCGCAGCATTCCTCTCTTTATCTTCTGTACACACTCACATTTTGTCTGGATCTTTTACCTTTTTGCGTACTTTGAAGAAAGTCATTAACCCTGGCACCAAAGGTGTACATTAAATGTCTACTGAATGTGAATGCACCTATCAAATGTAACCCAAAACCCAAACCCGTTGTTGAGCTGATTCTGACTCATAATGACCCTACTGGACAGAGGAGAACTGCCCCATAGAATTCCCAAGGTGGATTTAAACTGCCGACCTTTTGGTTAGCAGCCGAGCTCTTAACCACAGTACCACCAGGGTTCTATTAAATTTAAGGATGGTTAATAAACTAAGTTTATCACAAGAATCACACTAACTTCTATAACAATTCATCCTCCATGCACTTATCTACCCATCCTCAGCTAACTGAAGACCACTCTTTACCAAAGGTTGCTTACCTTCTTTAACCAAATTCTCATTATAAAGGCTATTAAGAATGGATGCATTAAGCGTCCCATTAGCCAGAAGAACACCAGTCAACATAGCCAGCTTGTTCCTCTCTGACTCGGAAAAACCCTTTAAGAACAGCAGCAGCTACAAAAGTAAACAGTTAAAGAGTTAAAGAAGCAATGAAATTAATAGAAACAGTAAAGCATACTATATTGGTTCAAAGTGTGGGCTCTGAGGTCTAATCATCCAAGTTAATATCTCAGTAATAATACTTATGAGCTAGGTGAAGATCCTGGGCAACTTACTTAACCGCTATGTGCCTCAGTTTCCTCATGTGTAAAATGTGGACAATAAAACTTGCCTCACAGGGTTTTTGTGAATATGAAATGAATTAATTAGAACAGTGCCTGGCACCTAATAAATGTTATTAACATATTACCAGATTCTCTGTGCACCTATATATTAGACTATCTAACAGACTGGGACTCAAATGGGAAGCATGCTACATTGCTCTTAGTCAATGTGTTTAGCTCGGACCCTCTAAACAAATCCCATTCATCTCACTTCGTTTTTAGCCCTCTCCTATTTGAACAGAGCTAAGAAAGTGTACAGCAAATTAGAAATACATACTTTATGAATGAAATGACATATCCCAAAACTACATTTCAAAGACAGCCTACCTAAATATCCAAAACCACCTTAACTCTGTGGCAGAAGTGAGATATTTTGTCCTCTAACATTCCTCTCTCTGACCCTAACCTCTTATTTCCACAGGCATACTGCATCTCATACCTTTTTAACTTCATCTTCAAAACCCTTCTCCAGGTATTTGTAGCGCCTGATTAACTTGTTAAAAACCTAGGAAGAATATTAAATAAATTTAACAATAACTTCATATGTGTACAGAGGATGGATCCCTAAAAAACCTAGATCAAGGTCTCTAATACAGCAATGAAGTGAATTTTCCACTGGACGCAACAGTTTATGAACCGTCTAATCCAGTTTGAGAAGGGCTTGTCAACTCCAAAATCCTGCAAGATACCAATGCTCTTAACACTTTCATAGCCATCCCCAACACATTTTTACCACTGTACATTAAAGCAAGGGCTAATTATTGATCAAATACAAGTCATTTACCCATCATAGAATACTGACAGAATATTATCATAAAATACAGTTTTATATTCCTTAACAATCCCCGGGCTGGACGCCATTTAAATTCTTTGTTTGTAGAAATACAAATGTAACAATGAAACCAGCAAATGAGATTCTGATTGTTCAGCTAATCTGCCTACAACTCATTCACCTTTAAAAACAGTTATATGGAGAATAACTCAACTATGGAAATCATTATAGAAAACTGATTCTCCTTTTCAGCTTGGAGTAATTCCACAGGGACAAACAGGAAAAGGAGAGCTAATTTTTCTTTCTTTTCTTGTTTGTTTTCCCTGATACTTCTGAAGTTCCTAATTCATCACACTACAGCAAGACTAGTATCCTTAAAACTTCAGTTCAACACTAGAAAATTCAAAAATGTGAAAGTATCAAAATTCCTTCAATTTTTTACCTTCAACCTCTTTAAAGCAGAATATTCCTTAAACGTTAATCAGACAAACAGTAGCTAACTAAATATAATTAAGTAAAATTTCATTTACCTGAGCAAATGCTTGCATGGTCTCTAGGTCTTCTTGTGCTGCAAACACACAGACATCTGTACGCATCATGTCGTCTGCCAGTGTACCACCTGGGGCTAAGGGATATTTTACAAAAAACTTGCAGTGAACTTAATTTTCATCAGTAATCATTTAAATCTTACTTTCTACAAGGATTTTCATTATAAAATAAAATGATAAAATTCTAAGAGATGACTTGAAAGCAAAGTCAACTTGTCAGCAGGAACATGGCTGACTGGTTTGATATGCATGAATTGAAGCAATTTATATAGGATTAAACCAAACAATCCACTTTAGCACCCCAGTGAAACTCACTGCATTAACCACTCAATAGTACCAATTGTCACTCAAATGGAGGTGTTCAGAGCTGGTTTTGATACAAAACTTTCCACACTGAAAAAACACTCTGTCAAGCTTCCAAAAAGGCTTCCTAATACCCAACTGGTGCTTCACCAATTAGGTTACAGATCAAAGCTCATTACACTTTTGCCTCTAGGACATGTTTGAAAATTTCCTTATCATATCTTTTAAAACGAAAAAAATTCCTTATCAATAGCAGTATTGTGAATCTACGAAAACAGACAGGGATCCCAGTAGAGGGTCCGGACAGAGCTGGTGAAAAAATGTAGAACAAAATTCTAACTCACGAAAAAAGACAGACTCACTTGTCTGATGGAGACTGGAGAAACCCCAAGAGTATGGCCCCTAGACACTCTTTTTAACTCAGTACTGAAATCACTCCTGAGGTTCACCCTTCAACCAAAGATCAGACAAGCCGATAAAACAAAATAAGACTAAATGGGCACACCAGCTCAGAAGCAAGGACAAGAAGATAGGAGGGACAGGAAAGCTGGTAACGGGGAACCCAAGGTTGAGAAGAGGAGTGTTGACATGTCGGGGTTGGCAAGCAATGTCACAAAACATTAAGCTATTAGTTGTTTAATGAGAAACTAATTTGTTCTGTAAACCTTCATCTATCTGTAAACTTTCATCTAAAGCACAATTAAATAAAAAACCCACTGCCGTCAAGCCGATCCCGGCTCATAGTGACCCTATAGAACAGAGAACCGCCCCACAGGATTTCCAAGGAGCGGCTGGTGGAATCAAACTGCTAACCTTTTGGTTAGCAGCCGGATGCCTAACCACTGTACCACCAGGCATTAAAAGGTATGAATTTTAAGTTCCTGGTTCCATCACTGAATAATTGTTTGACTGCAAGTCCTTCCAAATGTGTATAAACGCAGTTCTGATTCCAGCATAGCTTGGCCATCAGGGTCAATACAATGTTACTGTAAAAACATTCTGAATTATTTTAAAAAGCTATGCATATAAAATTACCATCACCTGAAACTATATAACTAAGTATCACATTCTGTAAAGATATCTTGAGCTACTGAGAGTGAGGATAGTAAAAGAGTAGCACTGACCAACAGAAATATAATCAGCCATATATGTAATTTAAAATCTTATAGAAACCATGTTAAAAAATAACCAGTGGAATTTTAATAATGTATTTTAACCCAACATATAAAAAATACGATTTCAGAATGTAAACAACATGCAAAATATTGATATATTTTATTCTTTTTTATATTAAGTCTTTAAAATCCAATGTGTATTTTGAACTTACAGCACCTCTCACTCTGGACTAGCCACATTCCAAGTGTTCAACAACCACATGTGACTAGTGGCTACTGTATTGAACACTGCAGGATTAGTCTTCAGGTATGCAGAAGCATTTCATAAGACAGCCAACAAGGAGTAGGGGTTTCTCCATTAACTGGAAGTATTCAAACACAGGTTGCGGGAAAACAAAAATCACCGAGCAGGGATGCTGTAGGGACTTATAAACCACACAGAGAAGTCATCCCCAAAAATTATGGTTCTGTAACAGACTTCAAATATGAGACTAGACAGAGCAAGGCAATCTGCTAACTTAATAGGATGTGGGAAGGAAAAAAAAAGAATAGTGAAAGTCTAAGGGGATAAAAACAAAACAATCCCTATTTTGATAGGTTTGTCAAATTGTTTATATTCAGGATTCTCAATTCCATACAGTACACTTTCGTAAATTATTAAGGCCACAAAACCCCAAATACTTACCCAGCATTCCACCGGCCACCAGAATGTCAAAGAGTGTTTCTGCATATCGACGGTAATCAAGTTTTGCTCCAGAAGCATCAAGAAACTTAGCTACTGCTTCTAAATCAGTACCAGTTTCAGTTAAGCCTTGAATAATACAGTCTTGAAACTGAGTAGGGTCAAACCTCTCTTTTTCATCTGGGGAGGGAGGAGAGACCCAAAACATTTAGTTTTAAAAGGCTTACTAAAATACCATGAGACCACCACCTTATAAAGCTGCAACCACATTCATCACAATTGCATTTAGTAGTTGGATATAAAGCAAACACAGCTAGATTACCCAAGACCTGCATGCAACACAAGCAAACAAAATGAGAGACTAAATACACATCCTATGCAAGTTTGCCCCCTGTATAGTAAGGAAGGATGGCCCAGTCACAAGAATTACTGTAGCCCTTTTCTTCTACTACCTTCTCAAACAAGTCTCGTAAGTGAGCTAAATGTGCAGGCCATGAAGTGGCCTTTGACAATTTCTACCTGGAACGCTTTCCTATTGCCTCTTGGCTTTTCTGAAATTTAAGCCAGCCTCCAAATCTCAGGTTAAGTTTCACTCCTCGGTGAACTTCTGCCCAAACACTGGAGCTCCTGGTTCTTCTCTTTCAATGTCTACAGCACTTTCTTTTATATAACTCGTTTAGTGTTTATTAATGTAATCTTTAGAAAGTGTAACTATTGAGCACTCAATATATGACAGAACCTGTACTAGGTGTTTTACTTTCTCATAATAACCTTTTGATCTCATTATTCAGAAGAGAAACTGAGGGTCAGAGAAATTAGGAAATCATGAGACCATACTGTGTAGTACGTTAAGAACATAGGCTCTGCAGTCAAACTGCCTGACTGAAATTCTGATAACTTCTTACTGTCTGAATTTGAGCAACTAGCCTCACTCTCCATGCCTCAAATTCCCTACTGTTAAAATGGGGATTAAGCGCAATCTTTTAAAGCTTTTATGAAGATTAAATAACAAATACAAAGAATAATGCCTTGGGCACATGCCTAACTAAATAAGCAACTGAGATGTTTTCACACAGTCTTCACTACATGACAGGGTTTCTCTATCTAGGTTAGACACCTTACTATTTACCCAGCACTGGGATAATCAACTCTTCCTTGTTTGCCTACGACCTTCTTGGTTTTAGCACTGAAAATTCTGTGTCCTGGGAACTCCCTCAGTCCCAGGGAAATCAGGATGGCCAGTCATCCTAGCCACAACTCTACTCATCAACAGCTAGGAGGACATGAGTTCTTTCTATCTGGAACTGGGCAGTGATATCACTCCCTGATGCTACCAGTAATAATAAAGTTACTTGCCGCTATTATTTATATAAAGGGGTTGATGATACCAGTAACCCACATACTCAGAGGATACAGACTTTTGCCCATCAGTGCTCAACTGCTCTGGGTTTACAACTTCTGTACCCCCTCTTAAGGAAACTTATTAGCTAAATCTAAGTGAATCTGGATGACTAAAATCAAATCACACTTTGGTCTCCCCATTATCTCTACAAGGGACTGTGATCAGAGACCACAAAAGATTCTTTGATATATATCTCAAAATGCCACTTAGTGTACAAAAAGAAAACACAATTCATGATCAGTAGCTGACCCAGTTCTTATTTTCACAAATGTCCTGTAAGATAAAGTTAATATGTGCTTTTCAGCAAATAATATTGCTTTGGGACAATATTAAGCCTAATACAAAATATATCTGACACCACGCCCTATTCAGCTTTGCATCACTTGTGCAGACCCTTGCTACAGCATTCAATATAGGTAGTCCCTGACTTACGACCATATTCGAGTTATGATGAACCCCACTTACCACTGTTTTTTTGGTACATCTTATCGTATGGAACCCATGGTAAGTTGGGGACTGCCTGTATTCACTTGAGTACACACTAATACAACAAAGTTAATCCTAATAGTTTCTACTAAGTCTGTGACACAAATATTTAATTTCAGAAGACATTACAATTATCATGTGAACCCTACTCCGTAACTAAAGTCTTGATTTTTTTTCTCACAAATCTGCACAAAATTTGAGTGAAGTTAGTGATCATGTTAGGAACTCTCCTTTTATAAAGTAACCTTTTGCTCGAGCAAAATGTTTGCTTAAATGAAATTGCTAGCTAGGAAAACACAGCCCATACTTTTTTTTTTTAAAAGGTATTTTATTTCATAGTCAGAATTAACTAGCTCATACTAAAAAGAACATTCACTAATATGCTTAGAAATATGTTGACTCAAAACTAAAGAAGGCTTGGGAAAGCCCTAGAAATATTAAAAGTATAGCTGAAATGGCAGTCAACTAGAATTTCAAGTTCTTTCCTGGTATTTTCTCTTAATGTTTTAGTACTAAGCAATTATCTGTCAGAGGAACCAAGACATGCAAAATATTCTGGTGTTTCAAAGAGTTATCATTAAAGCATAAATATTTACCTCTTTTTCTAGTTTTAAAACGCTGGCCTGATAGCGTTGGCTTTTGCTGCTTTTGATTATTCATAAAAGACACCCTAGAGAAAGAGAAATAAGGCCTTAAAGATATCATGTCGTAATATTCATTTTTAAACAAAGCATCAAACCTCTACAACACAAGTTTTCAACATGGCAATATACCTGGGTGCAGGCACAAATAGTTACCTTCGCTTAAATGAAACATAACTTCGAAATCTGGGTTTCTCCCTACAAGAAACCCTTTAAAGATGTGCCGTGAAATACACCCTTAAATGACTTTACAGAGCCACAGTGACTGGTGGCCAACCATCCACCATAAATATGATTGTTTAGTTTCTTCCTCGTTCCTCTAAGTTCGCATACATCTTTTACTACTCCGGAGCACCACAGACAAAACCACCAGCATAGCTGTAGCTATCCAAAACGTACACATCAATCTTAAGGCACTGTCAAATGGTGAATTCCTCTTTCTAAAGGGCCTGGTTGTAAGCACCACTCTTCCCTAAAAGTCGTGCCTGGGACCGCAGAGGCCGCTTGCACCACTCCAGCCTGCAACATTAACTGAGAGGGCCAAGCCTCCTTTGACCCATTCCCTGCAATCCAAGCCTCCTACCAGAACACGTGTCTCCCTAGCTACAACGTTCCCCTGACTCCAGCTCTGGAGACACACAACCCATCCCCGCCCGCGGCCCACTTGGCCACAGCGGGGCGCCGTAGTGGCTGCTCCTCGACCGCGGCCCCTTCTCCACTGACCCCGTTGTCGGCGGTGGCGGCCGCCGCAACGTGCGGACCACAGGAGCCGAGGCGCTTCGCGCCGGGGGCCCTGCCGCCCCGTACATCCGCCCGCCCTCCAGCGAAAGCAGCGGCGGAGGCGGCGGCGGCAGCGGTGGTAGTGGCTCCCCCGCCCCGCCCGTCCGGAACCCCCCACGCGCACATCACCCAACAGAGGCCGCCGCGGCTTTGTTACCCAGGCCGGGCAGGGCCCGGAGGGGGACCCGCCTCAGTCACTGCGTCCACCCCCGGCGCTGCGGCGCGCACCCAGGTCACACATCCCAGCCGGGGCCACCGCCATCCCTCGGCCACCCCGCTGAGCAGCGGCCCCGGCCCCGGCATCCAGGGCCCTATCCGGCCCAGCCTCATGCGGCGGCCTCCGCTCAGGCCACTCCAAGTCGGGCCGCACCAGAACCGCTGCCTCCCTCGCCCTCTGCCCAGTGACGAGGGGCCGCAACCTTGACCCAAGGCAAGCTGGCAGCGCGCCTCACCGAATTTAAGGCGAAGAGAAAAGAGCCAGAAATCCTCGCTGTGGCGGTAACTGCAGCGCTATCTCCTCTGCGACCGGAACTAACGCGAGGAGGAGAAGCAGGAGGAGGGAAGAAGTGCCACCCCTGCTCCGATCGGTTTCCTATCGCGAGATTTCTTCCCCTTGACCCCTCGCTCTTCTTGCCCCTGCCCGATCTCTTCAGCCTCCGCGTTTTCCATTCCTTTAGGTGTGGGGTGGGATAGTAGGAAAAGGCGGGGAAGGGAATTTTCAAAGCTTCTTTATTCCCCTATTGGGTTCCCGGTTTTTCACACGCTTATCCTGAACTAGCCCATCTTCCTTTTACTGCCGCGTGATCTGGCCTCAGCACATGGAGGGGTTGGAAGGACGAAGTCTCCCCCTACTCCCAGCCTCGAAGTTGGCCGCGTCCACTCGTAGTCCTCCCGCTCCCAACCCCCCCGCCCCTCGTGCCGGAAGTCGAAGCCCAAGGGCTGGGGAAGGGCGCTCCGGCTGAGGTTGGGTTGTAGCCCAACCCTGCTCTGGGGCTTTAGGCCACTGGGGTCTAGCTTTGGTAAAGGAGACCACGCCTCGCCTCCACTCGGGCAAGGGCTGGCAGAACTGTCTCAGGCTCAGGCCGAAGTAAGGCGACATTGCTCAGCGGTGCTGGCTGGGTGGGGTCGTGCACTGCAGGCAGAGTTCAGAAAGGAAGTTCTGTCCTTCGACTGCCGCCAAGCCACTTCTTGCAGTAGTTGCAGTCGTTCTTTACTGAATGTGGTGGTTGTAGGGACTCGGTTCGTTAACTCACAGATTGCTGGCCCTCAACCTCAGATTTTCTAGTTCTGTAGGTCTGGTGTGAATTCCAAGAATGTGCATTTCTAACAGCTTTCTGGTGGTGGTGATTCTGCTGCTGCTCGTCTAGGGACTACACTTTGAGAACCACTGAATTAGTGTATCTTCAGGGAGCTGGGGACGATCAGATGAGATGGTGCATAGGGAAAAGCACTGTGGATGATACAGAACGCTGTACAAATAGAGATGCATAGCGTTTCCAGCGTCTAGCCTGATGTTTTTATTCCCTGAGTTTGAACTGTAGTCCTTTGCCTCGTCACCTGCTTCCTTGCTCTCCTGCAACCAGAGAATCCTTAAAAACAGTTTCTCCCTAAAATCACCTTTTCTGCTTCTCTTTCCTATCAGCCATTTTGGAAAAAATAGTCAAGTTTGTTAGTTGATTTCTTTTCCTTGGCTATTTTTTTCTGCCCTTCCCCCGCCCCCCCGAAATTGCTTTCTCAGAGTTCTTTCCTGATATGATTGTCAAATGCAGTGATTCTTTTCAGTCTTCACCCTCTTTGCCTCTTCTAAGCATTTAGTGTTACCTGTCTCCTTAAAACTTTGCTCCAACTTTCCTGGCTACCACTCTGAATACTGTACTCCTTTGTATTTGTGGACTCATTTTTCTGTTCTCACACCTTTTATCTTCTTTAGTCATACTTTCTTCCCTGACAGTCTGATACATTCCCAGGGATTTAACTTTTATCTCCATTTAGAAGGTCCCCAAATTCATCTAGTGAATAACTGAACAAACATCTGTTGAGTCCATGGCTCTGTGTTGGTCCAAGTTGAGGGTACACCAGTGAGAAGGTCCTGAGGCAGGTAAGAACCTGACCTGCTGGCGGAACTGGATGATGCTAGTGTGACTAGAGCTTGGTGGGAGGAGTGTGGGGAGCAGAGAGAAGTAGCAGGAGTCAGATATCTAACCCCAGCCTTTCTCCTAAACCCCTAATCCCACTGTCTGGCATCTCCACTGGAACACCAAACTTAACATTCTTAGTACTATTGATTACCCTTCCCCCAAAACTGTTTTTCTGACAAAGTTCTACTAAATCTATGATGCTTCACTAATAAAAATAATAGCTACATTTGTATAGCACATGTTCGTGTCAGACACTCTTCTGAGAACTTTTAACTCATTTAATCCTCAGAACTACCCTATTACCTAGACACTATTATTAGCCCCATTTTATAGATGGAGAAACTGAAGCATAGAGAGGTCAAGTAACTTGTCCAAAGTCATAGAGAAAGTAAGTGGAAGAGCCAGATTTGAACCCAAGCAGTCTGGCTCCAACCCCTTGAATATATTGCTTTACCACTAAGGTTTTATTTTTTTATTCATTCAACGAATACTGATCACTTGGGATACCAAAACAAACAAAAAAAAGCAAACCAAACCCATTGCTGTCAAGTTGATTCCGACTCACGGGAACCCTATAGGACAGAGTAGAACTGTCCCACGAGGTTTCCAAGGAGTGGCTGGTGGACTTGAACTGCTGGCCTTTTGGTTAGCAGCTGTAATTTGCCATAGCTCTTAACCACTGCACCACCAGGGCTCTGCTTAGAATATAGAGGAGACAATTCAGCCTATGCCCTTATTTTTTCTTTTTACATTATTTCTCAAATCCATCATCTTTTTCTAGTACCTTGATTTTGGCCTCTATCACCTCTAATTAACTGGAACTTAGCAGTAACTTCCTAACTGCTCTATCCCTTTCTCTATACTTCCAGAATAATCTTCCCAAATGCAACCTGAATCATTTCATTGTTTACAAGCCTTGGTTTGCACTGAAGACCCCCCAGGGATAGCTCTGAACAAAGTTTTTCACCTTTACTTCCCATTGCACTAGTGGTTTTTAACCTGTCATTACCATCCTTTGCAGGATGTGTATGTAGCAAGCAATTTTTGACTAAAAACTGTAGTAAAGTTAGCAAATTATTTTCTCAATAAGTTAATTTCTTTTTATTATAAATTATATATAATCTAAATTTCTGAATTAGAGCAGATTAAAGGTTATCTCTCTTAAAAGATCATTCTCACTCACTTGCATTCTGATGCATGTTCTTGAATGGGAGGCAGGTAGAGTTACTGGGAGTTGTACATAGCAGGTTGCCTATCTATGCTTTTGGGTGTGCTCATGGGAGTAGGCTCAGGGGACTGGCGTGGGAAATGTTTGTAAATTGTATCATGGTAGAAAATGGTTCTGAACAACTGAACTCTGCTTTGTCAGACTGGACACACTGTCTTCCCTCTTACTGGAATGTCTTTCCCTCATCTTGTATTGTCAAAATCTTACTTACTGTTTCAAGCCTTGTCTCAAATACTGCCCTTTCCATTAAACCTTTTGTCTTAGTCATCTAGTGTTGCTGTAACAGAAATACCACAAGTAGTTGGCTTTAACAAGCAGAAGTTTATTCTCTCAGTCTAGTAGGCTAGAAGTCCAAATTCAGGGCGTCAGCTCCAGGGGAAGGCTTTCTCTGTCGGTTCTTGAGGAGGGTCCTTGTCATCAATCTTCCCCTGGACTAGGAAATTCTCTGCACAGGAACCCCAGGTCCAAAGGACGTGCTCTGCTCCTGGCGCTGCTTTCTTGGTGATATGAGGGCCCCCTGTCTCTCTGTTTGCTTCTCTCTTTTATATCTCAAAAGAGGTTGGCTTAAGACACAATCTAATCTTGTAGGTCTCAGCAATATAACTGCCGCTAACCCATCTCATTAACATCATAGTGATAAGATTTACAACACATAGGAAAATCATATCAGATGACAAAATGGTGGACAATCACAAATACTGGGAATCATGGCCCAGCCAAACTGATACGCATATTTTGGGGGGACACAATTCAGTCCATGACACTTTCCTAGTCACTGCAGCTGATGAGAACACATTCCCCTTTTAAACTTACTTTACGCTTTGTACTTTCGTTCTGATATGTGATCTACTTTTGTATTGGAGTCCCTGGGTGGTATAAAAGGTTAACATGCTCAGCTGCTAACCTAAAGGTTGGTGGTCCGAGTTGATTTAGGAAATAATATAGAAGTCATTATTCCCTGTCCTTGAGCATAGAGAATGTGACCCATCTGGAGCTGGGCTCACAAAGACTCACAAGGACTCACCAAAACACATCAACTGGGCCCTGAGGTACAAAGACAATAGCTAGGATAATCTTGGAAAATATCTTCTAGGGAACCTTTCACATAAACCAATCAAACAGAACACAAAAGACTTTCCACTCTTAACTTTTTCAATTAGCATTTAGTGAATAGAAAATTTGTTGGACCAATGAAGACCCTCTTGACTGTCATTACTGAAACCTGTACCAATGATTGTTAAGAAAGACAATTCAAAATGTATGAGCACAGTTCCTACACAATCTGCGAAAAGGTGAAGCTTTCAATGGTTTTGACCATTTGTAATGTTAATATATACCAGTGACTCTCTAATGTTCCTTGGACTAAGGCGGACATGGCTCTAGCAGCATGCTTGTCTGTTTTACCACTTATGTCTGTTCTATAATATTTCCTTGGCTCTGGCAGCATGGTTGTCCATTTCCTACTTTTGCCTTTTTGAATCTATGCTGAATAAAACTTTCTTTTTGCTTCTCTAAACTTTGTGGTGTTTTTTACCCTACAACAGAGTCCATCCAGAAGTGCTGCAGAATAAAGGCCTGGCAATCTATTTATGGAAGAAAAATCAGCTATTGAAAACCCTCTGGAGCACAATTCTACCCTGACACATATTGGGTCACCATGAGTTGGAATTGACTTGACAGCAACTGGTTTTTGTATTTATAGTTGTCATCTTTTCACCTGAAGTGTAATGGCTATTTATTACTCATTTTAGTACTGTCTCAATGTATATAGCAAGCAACATGCTTTAATAAGTATGGAATTAATTTGTAAAGCCAGTACTTTTATTATAATCATAGTTTGATCATGGAGGAGAAAGAAAGGTGACAAAGAAGTTCAAAGAAGAGCTGGTTTTCTTCTAGGAGTGCTTGAAGTTAGATGTTTAAAGAAGGATCTACTCCCAGGTTTGTTCTTGGATATTTTTGTGATATTATGCAAGTCAATGAAGCTATCTGTAAAATGTTCGTACCAGATATTTTACATGACAGTTGAGACCCTTCTCTTGAAATCAGGGTTCGGTATCTTTTGCAGCCTTGTTATTGGTATCTTTGGACTGACTGGAGTTCCTGGCAACGTGTTCTGTGCCTGTTTGATAAATGCTGTACTAGTGTAACTGATGAGCATCAGGAGAGAAGGGGTAAATCAGATCTTTGAGGAAATGACAGATTAGGCAAGGCCCAAGGCTGCCTCAGATTGGTTTTTGTT